AGGGCGGAGAAGGAGGGCAGCACTAGGCCTGCAACCTGGAGGCGGCGGTGGTGGCGACCCCCGAGCGGAAATGGCGGACGGGAGCAGGTCACCCAGGCGAGGCGGGGTGGGCTGGGGCGGTTGCCGATTGGGACCCGGAACGGGGCAGCAGGGGCGGGGCGCGCCGCCGGCTCCTCCCCAGCGCGTGCCGTCTGCTGCCGCCGCTCCCCCCGCTGGCACGCAGGTCCCCGGAAGAGGAGGAGGCAGCGCGGAGCCCGCGGCGCCGAGAGCGCAGCGCCGCCCTCATGGAGCCCAACGTGCGCTTCTGGATCAGCGATCGCCAAGTACGGCCCGGGGCGGGGCCGCGGGACTGGGGGCGGGGCGGGGGCCGTGCCGCGGGGAATCGGGGCAGGGGGCGCCCGGAGCTGCGCACCCGGGCTCCGCGACCTTGCGCCGGTCACGTGGCCCCCTGTGCGCTGGGTTTCCTCCCACCGGAGATGGGCTTGCAGTGCGCCCGGCCACCAGCCGCACCTGAAGCTAGCGGCTTTACCAGGCCCCGGAGCGGATGGCCACGCAGTCACCGGGGTCATTGCCTCGGACTGGCCGGGGCAGCAGGGTCACCAAAGAGTTACCCTCAGCCCGCCCTGGGAAGGGAGTCCCTCCTTCGCAGGTGTCTGTAAGCTGATCCTGAGCGACAGTTGGACCAGCCTACTCACCTTGGTTGGTTCAGCGCCCCGAGAGCAAGGGGCCCCTTAGGTAGTAGCAGCCCATTTACCCAAGTGAGGGGTCTCACCTCCCCGCAGTGTCTAAGGCAGCGCTGTCCAATAGAAATAGATGTAAGCCGCAGGAGTGATTTAAAACTCTTGAGCTGCATTCAAAAAGGTAGAAAGAAACAGGTGGAATGAATTTTAGTAAAGTAAAACCTGGGAAAGCCGGAACCAGAGTAAGGCAGAAACTTGTCGGAGAAGGAATATGCAGATATTTTGCACTAAGGATAGAAAAGTGTTAAGATTGCACCCTGTCAAAGGCGGAAAACTTTCGAGACCTGGAAAAACTAGGCAGTCCCCTAGTGTTCTGGCTCTCAGGTTTCACTGTATCTTGTATTTAACCCAGTAGATCTGAAATATTTCACCATGTAATAAAAAAATTACTGAGATATTTTGTATTTTTTCTGTAGGAAGGCTTCAAAATCCCGTGTGCATTTTCACCTAGGCCTGGCACCTCCCAGTTGGGCCCAGCCTCATTTTAGGTGTCCCATGGGCACAGGGTAGCGGCCTCCTATTAGCACAAGCCAAGGGTGTTCTCATTCAGGTCCTTGCCTATTTTTAGGTGACAAAATTGAGAAGCGGCAGGGCGTCCAACCTGTCCCTGAGAGCCAGGACACAAAGCCAGAGATGTGCAGGTGGGGGCCTGTTGCAGCGGCCCAGCTGCTTCCTCCACCTGGGACCCTGGCTGCAGTATTGAGCCCTCGCTGGGTGCCCGGGTCTTTATTTGTAGAGTTAAGCCTTAAACAACTTGAAGGAGGCAAGGAAACAGTTTCTGAGGCCTCCTGGAAGGTACTTGCTT